AAAATAGTAAGAAAAAATTCCACCTCCATTCTCAGTAGACTCTTGCGCGTAAAGCCGTGAAGGTTTGAGATAATGATTTCCATGTTTGCTACAGCTTCAATCAGCAAATAAAGCCTGATATGAGCATCTTCCGACGTCCTCGATTTTGATTCTTTGCAGTAAATATTTAACAGATCCATGTAATGGCGAGTGTGTCGTTTTGGTTAGAAATACACTGTGACACATACTTTGACAATGGTTCGATTTCGCTTTCTGTAGAAATTCTATATCTCAAAGTGCACTAGTACCGGAAATTATTTAAGAGTTATCTTTTAACCTGCATGGCATGCAGTGTACAGCATCATATCGAAAAAGTATTCGTTGCTTTCTATTTCATAATCATTATGACTTTTAAGCGCTATGTAAATCAAAGGAATATCAAAACTAAAAGATTCGTATCGCATTATACATTGTGCTTTACAATGAACTGAATGCCAAAGGCTGTATAGTTGAGTAAATGGAAATGTCCAAAAAGTATGAGTGTAAGAAAGTATGATAGTATGGAGTAAAAATTAGAGCATCAAAGTAATGAAAAAATTTTTCCAAAACGGAGAAATGAACCCTATTAATGATGAATATCGCGCCGCTTGCAAGCAAGCTGCGCTCAGCGATTGAACTGCGATCCCCACAGAGTTACACTGTGGCCTCTGGAACTTGCGACGTTACCAATGACATTCTGAGTGAGGAAAGTATTGCTCATCATGTATCTGTGTCACTTTGGACTAGCTATATTTCGGCATTGAAAAGCTCTGATTCAACTTTTTCCCAGCTCTTGTCCACCAAGTTTCCTATCTTTCGAAACCGAGATGCTGGTGCCAGATTTTAGAGTGTCATGGTGAAAATTAGCGGCGTCCCAGCGAGGCTGTTTTAGGATCTCGAACAGGACTAGTTACACCAGCATCTAACGACATTTGTGATGATCCAATAAGCATCGGTGGTGCAACGGTCAGCATACGCTCCCGGAAAGAGTACGACCTGAATTCGAATCCCGGCCGACGCGAATGTTTTTGCACAGCAATCGATATTATTGGGTATATTGTCATATCGTACCACCGCAAGTGGCGGTAAAATAAGAAGAATTTCGATTTGTGATGATCAATAATCCTAGAGGGCACAATTCCGCTAGAAGGCGACAAATAAATATGTGACTCTATTTGCTGATCAATAACCTTTTAACAAGAGTGTCAGTAATATTCGAGAGCTTAAATCCTTGATTAGCGCGATAATAACCGTTTTTCGAAGATGGTTGTTCATAACGTTCCAGCGAAAGGAAAACATCTGTGTTTCACACACGCGTTTTTCTCGCAAGACAGAGCTCTTTCTTCAGACTATTGGCAATCATTCGAGAGCGTAGGATTTGAAAATTTATTGCTGTCCCTAATTTCTGAAAAGACCGTTCCTCTGCAGTGTAGCAGATCAAACACACGAGCATATGTTTTTGGCCAATCTAAGGAGTGGGTGGGGAGGGGGGGAGGGGAAGTGCAGATTAGATGCCGCGATTTCAACACGGCCATTGAATAATGGCTCATTGTCGGCTCACATGTGAAGAGCGTTTCTCTTATTCACTTGGAAGCTGTTTCTTCCCTTTGAAAGGAACTCCAGACTAAAGGTTGGACTCTGAGTCTTAAAGATTTTCTCTCACGTTCATGTGCTTTCGAGCTTCCATCGAAGTAAAAGTTGAATCACACTGCAGACAAAAACATTGTTCCATTTTTCCTCATTATTCAGCTCTATTCTAGTCCTAAAATATTCAATCACATGTCGTCGCGTTCCCATCCAGTTTATATTTTCGTTGCTTGTTTGATCCTAAATTCCTTCTTCTTGCTGTTCATTCTCGAATTCCTGGAGTTTATCAGATAACATAACATTCTTCGATTCTGGAGACGGTATAAATGGTACGGTCGAAAGTACTATATAGTGATAAGAGGAATTCCTCCTTGCTGAGGTTCCTTCTCAAATAGTTGGAGTTTATCACATAGCATATCAACCTGCGATGCAGGATGCGGTATAAATGATACGATCGCAAATACTAGATAATGATAAGAGGAACTCCTTTTTCCTGCTGTTAATTCTCAGATAGTTGGAGTTTATGAGATATCATATAATATCATGAGATATCATAAGTAGTTTTCAACCGAATTAATGTCAAAAACAAGAGGAAAATAAATTCTCTGAGGGGTCAAAAAGGCGACAACATAACGGAGAAGCGCCCTATTAACTAGGTAACGAATATTTGCTGCCTTGCTCTTGAAATGAACGCACTCTGCACTCTTAAAATGCTCCTACTTATTGAAACACCACCGAGTGTTCTGAGACGCAACTAGTTCGCAACCGCATATGCGGCCGCCTCTGCACAGCGGAACAATGCAGACGCGCTCTAACAGTAGAGATGGTGATTGCATAAACATAAGCACAGTTTTCCTAATCTCTTGCAAGGAGTGCGACAAAATATACATGACGAAGCGGGTAGGCCACATGGGTCCGCATAGAAGAGCATCTAGCTGACAAACGTAACTTTAAATCAAACACCCCGCTAGGCACGCACAGACACAGATGCATAACGGAGTGAATCTCAACACTAAAGTCACCATCCTTGCCCAAGAACATAAAACAGGGGAGCGAGAGATTTTGGAGGCGTTTTGAAATAATATCATCACTTCGAGTATGAACCGCAGAGAAAAATGACCCGTAATTACTGGTGATATGAATAAGCTTATAAGATAGTTGTTTCGATGAGTGAGGTACATAACGAGTCCATGTGATCTCTTCCTAACTGCCTTCACTCGTATAAGACTTACAAAGAGCAGCGACTATGCTGAAAGTAAATTTTGTGCCTGATGCGACTGAATTGTGGATCTGGTGATTTTTCCATAAGAGTAATGGATAAATTTGGCTAGCTGGACTGTAGACAACCTGATCTTTTTAAGTTCTGAGCAATGCGAAATAGTCGAAACTAGAGTAGTTTCAACAAATGGTATTGCAAAAACTCCTGGCTGGTTTTAAAAGAAAACAAGAAATACTACTGAAGCATGCCAAGATCAGTGGATGGTCGTTCTTGGGAATTCTTGTCTGTTTAATCATCTATATCCTGACTTTTAAAAACAATAATGAATGACATCCGGATTGTCTCAACAGTAGAATCACATTCGCGAGATGGGTATCTCATTTCAATTGGGAATTGTCGTTCGTCCCGTTAACATCCATCTTGAATGCTCCAATCATCGAACAAGTAGATTATGAAAGTCTCCGTCCATAGAGGGATAAAAATCTGTTTATGTTTGACAAAAGATCCCAGCTTGTGAAATATTCTAGTAATCCAAAAACTGTGTCGATAAGGTGCCATCGCATGCACTGAGCCTCACTGTTCTTCAGAAATCATGCATTGTTTTCTAAAATAGACACTATGACGACTTTTGGCTATTGTATTAAGTTGAAGGTATCAAAAGTGGAATGCACATGCCGCAGTATTTGAATTCTGAAGTGCATAATGACCATAGGTTGTAGAAAAAAATTTGTCGTATTTTCAAAATGAGCACAAAAATCTATTTGTACACTAATTAAGCTCAAACAAAGGACAAGTTTGTAATTGAAGCAGTTTCCTTCCACATCAAGACAATTCAGTTACATGGGGAGCACGAAGGTTCCGCGGCTGTAAAACTCGTCAGCATACATCTTGCAGAGTTGCCGATGAGTCTCAAAAGCCTTGACACCCAATTTGTAGTTGAAGTGGAGCAGCAGACGACTTTCTTTCTTGAACAGTGTTATTCTGAAGGCTGTGCAGATCAACGATATACCGTTCGATGCGCAAGAAGCGAGCTTTCCGATGAGCTCAAATTCGCGCAAAATACATGTGAAAAGACCATTTTCTCAGCCCAACAAAACTTTTTCGCAGCCTACTAATATGCTGGATTATCTCACTGTTTGTTCATTTATGGCAATGAATTACGGTGAACTGTGGCCGAAATAAAAAACAAAAGATGAGTATAATCGAATGTCAACAAATACAACTAAAATAGCACAAAAAAAACTCAATAACGGTTCGAAATATGATCTTTTCGTAGACATGCGGTTTCCCCTCAACAAATTCGGGAAATAAATTAGAGGAAGCATCTGCGTTGCTCCTAGTTA